CCTAGGTCTGCTCACTTCAGTCTCCTTTCTTACCTCTTTTTCTCCTTGTACTGTCTGTTCAGCAGTATGGAACTTTTCTTGTGCATTAGGTCCTTAGTATATGTTGTTCCCAAGGGAAGAAATGCTTCTCTTCATCTGTTACACGCACTTTGCTAAAACAACGTCATGATTTCTCCAGGATTAGCTTAAGTCTTTTCACTATGTGTTTCCAAATCATCCTTCACTTGCCCTGTCACAGACAGTACTAAGCAATCTTTAGTGTCACTCTGAGTACTTCCATTTCCTGCTCTGGACAGGCTTGGCTTTCATGGATCTTAGAAAGGACAGCAGGAGCAAGCAGAGTATAGGCCACAACCGTTGCTTGTACTCATCAAGGCTCATCATTGCCGGCATCTTGAGTGGGAGCTTCTGCCCTTTGTCCAAGCTTGCTTGCTTGCATTCATTCATTCATTCATTCATTTATTTATTTATTTACTTACTTACTTACTTACTTACTTACTTACTTGGTACTGGGGATAGAACTTGGGACCTTTCACTTGTGCAGCAGGTGGCAGCACCACTGAGCTAAATCCCCAGCTCCAAATTTTCTTTCAGTGAGGTTGTGGAGGCCAGTTGGCAAGACATGGCTGTGAAACTAAGTGATCTGTGGCTCATTTTCACTTCTGCCAAACTCTGGGAAGACAGGTGATTTTGGTGCCCTGAAGAGCGCTCTAGTATGTAGATTTATCTAATTCATTGATACCTTATCAAATTCTTTGTCTCCTCACCTTATGTTTTGTGGCAGTGACCTTCCCAAGATGCCTCATCTGTCCTTATCACAGGTGGAGATTTCTTCCTGTGCATCTGTGCTCTGATTACTATTTACTTCATTAATTCTGGTTTTCTCCAAAGGTCATTTGGTCTTCCAGTGCAGTTCATATAAATTATCTAGAGATAAGGGGTCGGGGATTTAGCTCAGCGGTTCGGTGGCCTGCCTTGCAAGCGCAAAGAACCGAATTCAATCCCTGGTACCAAAAAAAAAAATTATCTAGAGACAGTGGATGGTTTTTCCAACTAGTTCTGAATTTAAACAAAGATACATTTATATTCTTGTAGCTCATAGTGTCACTATTCTTGATTTTTTTGTTACAGTTTTGTGTTGTATTTGTAAAAAATCAGTTGATTTATTTTTATGTTCAAATATCTTTTCTCTGTTTTGAGGACACCATACTGATTTTCTAGTGAATTTAAATAATTCCAATCTGATGTGAAAGCCAGTGTTTGAAATACCACTTCATTCAAGACGGATTAATTCTTGTATATATATGGTCATATGCATTACATTTTTCCCACCCAAATTGTCCCATTTCAGTATTTTTAAAAATTATAATCTTTACCTTTGTCACTAAATCTCTTAGTATTTGGGCTGTTTTCTCTGTTGTTGTTTGTATTTGAACAGAAAAAAACAAAACGGATAACACCATTACTAGAAGTGAAAGGAAGATGAGGATATGAAATTCCATTCGTTGTTTTTTTTTTCTTTTTTCTTTTAAATATCTTGTCCCAAGTGATAGAAATATTTGGATAGTGACATGTTGAAAAACAGGGAAAATACATCTTTATGTGTCCCAAGTAAAAAACAAAATGTCGTTTAAAAACTACCAGTTTCTCAATCTGTCCTAATTTGCAAATTTATGGTAATATAAATGGAAATGTTTCCATCTTTCATTTCTTCAATAAAGTACAGTTCTTTCTGATGTAAAATGAAAATCAGACATCCAGATTTTCTGTGCATATATATAAAAATAATTTCCTTATTTAAGAAATGTTTGTGTACCAATAAACTCAATGAGGAAAAAAAAAAGACATTTGAGTCTTGTTTGTTGTTGTTCAGAGCACAATGCAGTGTATTGGAGGGGTGAAGAGGTATAAAATTTAGAGGAGCAACAAAGATCTAACATCCGCCCCAGGCTTCCTGTCCTGTATTATAAGTACGTTGGCCACTGTTGGAGTCCTGGAGAGGGCTATGTCCCATGGTGATGTGTCCTGCAAGCTTTCTGGGGAAGGTGGCATTTGAACTAGGCCTTGAAAGAAAATAATTATTTTGTTAAGTGGAGAAACTTCTTCATATGAATTATGATTATTTCCAGTATCAAGGAAGAAGGAACATCTTGAGCAAACATTTTTAAGAACAAAAAGTAAGTGATGATTTCTAGGTAAAAGAGTATTTCCAGGAAAACACTGGCTGAAACTGATGGAGTTTATGAGGCATTTTAAGTGTTAGGTTACGGATTGTGAAGTTTTTGTATATTAGAAGAACCATAGAAGTTGTCTGTATTCACGTTTAATTAACATGTTAAAAGTACTTTCCCACTACTTTTAAAACTTACCCAATTAAAAATTGTACAGTATAATCATGGAAAATGACAGATTGTGAGCTTTTTATATGTTTCTAAAGTTAAGCTTTTCCAATAGATCTTGCAGCAGCTTTCCTGACTTCAAAAATATTTTTAGCACAAAAAATAATTTTTTCCTTAAAATTAACATTCATATTCTTATAGCAGGCCAAATAAGGTAACATACTGGTCTTGTTGCTTTTATTCTTGGCAGGACAGTCTCTCAGTATTAACTGGCTAACATATTTACAGTGATTCCCAGTTGGTCACTTTGGTTCTTTTTATGTAACAGCACATGAGCATCGTTATGTAAGACGCGGCCAGTGCAAAGTGAGTAACTCTGATGCACTGTACTGCCGTGTAGCATGCGCCAGGTTCATCAGTTTTTCAACCGTACTACTGTGCCAGTTAATATTTAAGACCTTATTTTAACACTAGACTGCCAGAAATTGGGGACTTTAATTTTGTGTAGGATGCTGAGGATTGAGCCCAGGACCTCGTGCATGCTAAGTACACAATTTACCACTGAGCTCACTCACAGGCCTTCAAATTAGATAACCTTGATTTGCTTTGGACAAAAGAATTTTTATATATGTATGAATGAATGACTAAGTAAATAAAATATCTTTTGAAAGCTTATGGAATCAGTTTTAAGCATACTTAAGTATTTCTAATAATATATTTGAACAGTGGGTACCAAAAGTATTAAATTACCTAGAATGCCTCAAATGGGGGTATTTGAGCACATGATGGTATTTAATGAAAGAAATAGAGCCATGATTATCCTTCTCCTTCCTGTCATTTGTACAATAAAAATGGAAAATTACTCGATTACCTAAGAAATGTATGGAAGACAGAGGCTGTGTCTTGTTTTTTCTTGTACATCGCATCACAGTACTTGGTCCACAGCCTTGTGTGACATCTGCTGAGGTACTATTTAAGTCATATGGCTTCTAGCATATGGTAATTTCTGATGCTGTTTAGCAGCTAAATAGAGAATCAATCTTTATAATGTGTATTGAAGAGTTAGAATGAAAAATAAAGTATGTGAAGTCAGATTTATTTTAGAATATAGTAATTTTCACTTCTTTGGGTTTTGTTAAGAATAGCTAATAATAGGAAACAATCCACAAGGTGAAAAATATGCTGAAATATCATTTGGTCTTCACATCTGGATTTTTTTTTTCACATCTGGATATTAACAAAAGGTTGTTCACATCTTCATTCACGGTGACCCTTTTCTTGCCTACTTTTGCTTTGTGAGTTTTGAGAAACAACTTTTCCAGGAAAAGGACTTTCTTTGCGTATATAAGTCACACTAAGCTAGAAAATTTGGAAATAATTGAAGAAAAACCGAAGGTTAATATTCACAGTTTTGTCACTCTGAAATATGTTATTTTTTATGTGTTCTTGGTGGATGAGCTTTGGTGTTGAATGACACAGTCTTTCACTTTATTTTCCCCTTATACAATCATTCCATTTACCCTTTGCAAAGTTTTGTTTCTTGATAGGACTGAATATTCTATGGCTTACTCATAATACTTGCAAATTGCTGACATTTGGATTTAGTTGGTTGCTTTTTTGTTTATGGCCTCATTTAGTATAGTTTAACATTATTTTAAGATGATTTATAATACAAAATAAGCTACTGATTAGTTTTCTTCTAAGTGGTAAGATTTTTTATTTGATATGGGGACAGATTTAGATCGTAATATGTAATTAACCAAAAGCCAAACTCATTGTATTTCTCATGTTGATCTGGATAAGAGATGACATTTTGCTTGTTTTTAAGTGATATTTGTGCATTTTGCAGCCATCTGCCTTGTTTTTTTAAATTTTTAATGGGTTAAATATCTTAAGATTTTATTTAGTTGACGAGAAAGTTTATCCCAATTTAAATAAAACACTTAAGACATTTGGCCTCCACAAGGACACACTTTTTTTTTTTTTTTTTTTTTTTTGTACCAGGGATTGAACTTGAGTCCTTGCACTTGCAAGGCAGGCCACCGAACTGCTGAGCTAAATCCCTGGCCTGGACACACTTTTAATGCCAAACATTTGTCTAAGTAATAACTAGAGGAAGTTGAGTCGATGCTGCCTGCAGATAATTAGCTCCTGTGTCAGCTACAGACTTATTTTTGTCCCTTTTTCTTTTGAATAAAATTACTTATCTAGCATAGAACATCATAAAAGGAAATGTTAATGTCTTACAAGTAGTGCTATCACTCCTTTGTCAGCTGCTTTCTTAAACTTATATACTGTGCCTGTTCCCTATTTAAATTTTTTTTTTCTTTGGGTGTTAATGCTTCTGTTTGGAGGATCTAGGCCAGTGGTGGCAAATCTGTGGCACTCATGCTGCAGGCAAACAGCAGGCTCTAAAAGGTTTGCCGTCACTGATCCAGCCCTTTCTAGGGGATGGCTTCATATTTTTTCTATGCCTACTCATGTATCCTGGTTATAGTAGGTGATTAATGGCAGTGTCCAAGAAACATAATGTTGTGTATGCTTTGCTACGACAGTGGGAAGGAAAAACAAAGCAAGTGGGTATAAAAATATTTTTGTGGTCTCCGTTTATCTCAAGAGTACTTAAAATCCCACTCACTGTATTTCTTTTTGTATTTATAGAAATGCTTCCATTATTTCTTCAGAAAGTTGAAGTAGTCTCAGAAGCGTCTAGAGAAACCTCTGTAGCTCTGGGTGATTGCCTTAGCCTGTTTGCTAAACAAGAAGAGGTAAGTTGTTTGGAATTTAATTTTTAAAATGATTATTGGGGTATCTCATGCTTGATCATCTAGTAAGTCATTGCTTTGAAATAATTGAAAGGCGGGGAAATACAGAAAGCTTCATTTTCACCAAAATTTGGAATTTATTTGTTCTTGATTAAGCATGATGATTCTAAAATGACTACTGAAAAATTCAGAATTCTTTTGAATTTATTGATAGAGCCATATTTAACAAAATCACTCTGCCAAGGATTGTAGTGACATATCAGTAAAGGGATATGAAAATATTCTAGAAACAAAAGCTCTTTCTATGAAAAATATATAATGCTTATATTTAGAAAATATTGTTATTCTTACCTATGAAAACTGATCTCAGTGGATGGAAAATTTTTTGTGTTTTGTTTCCCCTTGCTGTCTTCCTCCTGTTCAACAATATGCCGTTTGCTTTTTGGGTGAAAACAGTGTGCTAATCCATTAAGAATTCTTTTTTTAAGGACTAAAAAGTTGTAAATATGTGCTTGAGTTGTCTGAACTAGTATTTTTATTTTATATATTTTGTCATTTCCATGATTTTAAACCTAGTGGCAGGCCAGGCATGGTGGTACGTGCCTATAATCCCAGCACTTGGGAGGCTGAGGCAGGAGGATCACTGAAAGTTCAAGGCCAGTCTAAACTCCATAGTGAGAATGTGTCTCAACCCCCCCATCAAAGAAAGGGGCAATAAACTTTCTTTTCCATTTTGTTAATTTCTACATATAAGTTTAACCTTCAGATTTTATAGTGATATCTAATTTCTTACGTTTGTACTTTTTGGTGAGATTAGATTTTAGCAAAATAAGAGAAAAAAGGACTTATGTGTTATTTAATTTTTATTTTGACACAAGGTCTCACCGAGTTAATAAATTACCCAGGCTGGGCTCATACTTGGGATCCTCCTGCCTCAGCCTCTCAGAGTGCTGGGATTATAAGTGTGTGCCACCACACCTGGTTTGTATGTTTCTCTTATATGTAAAAGTCTAAAATTTTATTTTCCCATGATTAAAATGGAAGCTTTGTGAATTCATAGCTTTGCAAATACTATTTGTTATGTGTACCACACATTCCATATATTAGTTTGGCAAATCAGAAAAATAGGAAAATATTAATCTGAATTCTTTTAAAATTATGTGATAATTAACTTTATAAGGGTTTATAAGATAAATAAATAATTCTCATGCTGGAAAAATAAAGGGATGGTGTGGGGAAGAAGGGAATGGAAACATGTTATATAAATGTACCAGTTCCCTACCGTGAATGTAATTATGTGTTGCAAACATGTACTAATAAAAGTCAAAAAGAAAAAAAAAATTTACAGAAAGTCAACAGAATTCTGTTAATTCTGTTACTATCACAGGAAAACATAATTTCTTAAGCTTTTAAATCGTTATTCTAATACTGTTTTAAAATACTTTCTGAGCACTTGTTTTTATTCATTTGCAGATTGTATATGCTAGTTTATTTAAGTGATGGATGGTGTACATAGATCTGAATATGTCGGTAGCATTGTAGAACATCATTGAAATTAACAAATTGTTATGTCAGGATTCATGTAGTAGTTAGCACATTGCAAAACCAAATTTTAATCACAGTTCTAAGGTGATTACCTGACAGATGTGTTGATATATTGGTTTTTTTCCACCCCTAGGGATGTATGATTTTAAGGCAATACAGATTAGCAATAATATGTTATGTTGGTGATCTGTGATTTCTGGAGAAGTCAATGTATCCTAATTTTTACATTGCTTGCTTTAAAAAGCCCCAAACCCTTCTCTTTGTTAAAAATGGGGTTTGCAAGAATATTAGCTTTGAGCTTAGACTGTTTTAATGTCTTTTAGCTTCTTAAATTTATCACAAGGATTAAATATGATAATGCCAGCAAAATCCTTGGTATCGTGCCTGATGCCTAGTAACCCCTGAATAAAAGCCAGCGGTTCCGATTGTAGGCTCTTAGGTAATTAACATTTGTAATCACCCTTCTTTGATGGTATCTTTTGTGTCTTTAAAAATCACTTTTGTTTTGGGAAGAGGTAGTGTTTTCTAAAGATTTGACTACTTGTGGAATGATTGTTTCTGTGTAAAACTAGTTACATGTTGAAAACTTTTGCAGTATAAGTATAATAAGACAAGTTTGTGGTTGATTTCATAAAGAGAAACCTATAGGATGTTTTAAAGGTGGAATACTTGGAAATGTAGTATCAGTGAATGTTAATGTTGGGTTTTTTTTTTTCTTTTGTTTTTCTTTTTGGTACCAGGAATTGAACTCAGGTCCTTGCGCTTGTGAAGCAGGTAGCAGAACCACTGAGCTAAATCCCCAGCCCTGGGTGGATTTTTTTTTTTTTTCCTTTCTTTTCCTTTTCCTTCAACCTTGTCTGAAAGTTTTATTCAGAAGGCTAGAAACTGACTTTACAATTGTTTTCATTTCTGTAGTTTTCCTCACCAGAGGATGGTCTCGGAAGTGGCTAAGCTGTCACATGGTGGTCATGATTGGCGCCATCCTAGTTCTTTGAATCATGGAGTCCCTTTGATCTTAGACCAGTTTTTCTAAGTGAGGAACTTAGCTGTTTGAAGCTGTTATAAGCTCACTTATACGTTTTTTACTTTCATGTGAAACATCCTGACTGCTGAAGAGAGGTGACCCAGATGCAGGACTGAGTGATGACGGTGGTACAATGGAAAGATTGAGACTGAGCTGGAACCTTCTGAAAAGTTAGGGCTCGTATGGGTTCTCTGGGCCAGATGCTGGTATCACTGAACAGAGTCATGCCTTCATGTGGACCTAGAACTCTATGAAGTCATGGTGTCTGATGTTCATTTAGCTTCCTGTGCTTCCTGTAAGTTGTTTATTCATTTTGGGCCCCTCAGCTCTTCTTCGCTATTGTTCCCACAGCCACTCCAAGTCTTCACCACTCTCTGGCCGTCTCACTTCTTTTCCTTATCTTCCTCTGTGCAAAGCAAAATTTCTTAGCTAAATTTGAAAGAATTTACCAAATCATGGTAAATTCTATCTGATCCCTATCCCAAGTTTTATCAGCATCAGCTTCCATCCCTTTGTTTGCATCTTACTTGTTGGGGACCTCGCTTCTAAAACATAGCTGTCTTGAATTCTCTGCTCTTTAATTTTATGGCTTTTATCTGTCACTGCATTTTTTACCAGTTCCATTCTTGACAAAGTGATGCTTCCTGTTTCAGCATCTTCCTTTCCCAGCTAGTCCACTTGCCCATATTTCTTCTTTCCAAAGCAGAGGATGCTTGTTCCATGAAGGAGTTGTCATTGACTACTTCTTCCTTTTTGGAATCCTCTGTAACTACCTCTTTTGGCTGCTCTATCCTTTATGGCTTCTCAGTCACCTTCAAGCATCTCTTCTTTTTTTTTTTTTTTTTTTTTTTTTT